GCACATCCCCGAGGCGAGGCGGGGGAAAGCGGGCCGGGTCTCCTGGAGCCACCCCCGACGGCAGCCCCGCAGGCGGCGAGTGTGAGAGAGAGGCGAGGGCGAGGGGTGGAGAGAGAGGATGCGCCGCGGGGGGCGGAGGGAGGGAGGAGCGGAGGGGCGCAGGGAGGCTCCCGCCACCCTCCCCGCCTTCCCCCGGCCCACCCTCTGCGGGGGTTTGCGCCCCCCTCACGGCCTCCTGCGCCCACCCCTCCCTCGCGTCCTCCGTGGGAGCGCGGTGGGCGGTGGGATAAGCCGGGGGCAAGGCCAGGCGGCCGGGTCCTCCTGTGACTCCACACACCCACCACTAGCTCAGAAGGCTGGAGCACCCCATCTTAGAAGAAGTGTAAGGAAGCTGTTGGTAACTGCAGCACACCTGTGTTTCACTTTCCCAAAGCCTTAGAAAATCTCCCCAAGCATCTCGTTGCTTTTTCTTCTACTTCCAAATCTTTGGCCCTGAGTGACTCGAGTTCAGCGTGCTGTTCTCACAATATCCACAACCCCAGATGACTTTTAAGTAATGGGAGTTGATGCTCTTGTAGCTGTAATTTGAGTCTTAACCCCATTGTACATTAAAAAAAAAAAAATAAAAAAAAATCCCAAATCAGGAACACTATGAGAAGAGCTACCTTGCTCCTGCCAGATTTGCCTGACCTCTACACCTCTACTAGCATCCTCCACCATACACTCCATGGCCAGTGTTACTCAGGTCTTAATCTGAAAAATATAGAAGTCACTTTTTCCCCCAAAGGAGAAAACTATCACACTTCTCTATTTCGTTAGCAGAATTTAGACATGAAAAGCCAAAACCAGTAGGAGACAAGGCATTAGAACAGATGGACCTTCAGCTTCAGTACATCAGTTCATGTGCCGTATAAAATCCTGCAAGTTCTACAGAAGCAGTTTGGTTTTTATTGCACTCCAAAAGGAGAAACAGAAAGTGGTATAGATGAGATACTAGGTTGTGAGTAGCAAGGAGCATCTTTCATCCATCATCCTGTGCAGACAGCTGATGCATCCCTGGTTTTGTTTGCATTCAGAACACGTAGTGCAGTCTTCCTTTTGTCAGGCTTCTTCATAAGCCTTCATATTTCTATACTGTTTGGTAAACTTTCTTTTGGCTCATTCCACTACTAGTTTTAATCAACCAAGCATTCAGCAATATATTTTAATTCTTTGTGTAAGAAGGTGTAGACTGATAATACAAATCATTCCCGCATAGTTCTGCCCTGGAGAAAAGCCTTAAAAAGAAACAAACAAAAAAAGGAGCTCAGGAATTAAATTACATTAGGCACCTCATTTATCCCATGCAGCATATTCATACTTAGTGCAAGAACTAGATGTAGTATTCCTATTTCCTCTCAATTTGGAGGGGAGGAAAATAGGTAGTGTCAGACGGTAAATCAAAGTGAATCAAAATCATATTCTTTCTACATGTTAACTGGCCCGATAATTTATATACCTTAGTATATAAACTGACTCATTGAAAGCCACTCCCTCGGTCATTCTCTACTACCCAAGCCAGTAAACTTAGACTCCAAATTAGAATTAAAGCGAATATTGCACTCCTTATGTATTATCTTCCAGATTTAAAGAAGCCTTTTGTTTCTCTAGCATGCAAGCGACTATGAGCATGAAATGTTGCTTTTTATTATGCTGATATAAATCTGGATAGACTTATTTTTATTTAATTATGTTAGCAGTAACAGAGAATCCAGTATGATAAACATCCTCGCGTATTTATGGCTCTATTTCTGAAACCTTTACAAAGAAGAGCTCAGATGTTTGCAACTCCTAGCTTTTGCAAGGTTTCCTTTTCTGCCTGGTGTTTATCAAAGGGAGTCATTATGTTCTGCTGTTAAACAAAGTAACAGCTTGTCAGTTAATAAAAGCATGCAGCTAGAAAGAAACAAGTAAAGGCAAGAGTTACCAGTTACCACAGCAGAAATAAAGCTTAAAATTTCAGCTGTAGTATTCAAAATAGGCGGCTGTTAAATTCTAAATCAAAGGATAAGAGGCACAGAAGAAAAAAAAAAAATAGAGTTTGAACGTTGACATAAGAAATTCTTAATTATAAAAATGGATGGGACTTAAGTGGAAAACAGAATTAAATATGGTAGGGAATTAGCATTGCATCTCCAAGGTAATCCCTATTTAAACCGCACTGTCTCCAACAGCAGAGTGGTATTTTTTCAGGTTGTCTCCTCAGTACTATTAGTATCACAGCAAGTTCACCCCTGAAGCCTTTCCTGTCTGAAGAAAGGATAGTACTAAGCAGATTGCCCACTGATTGCATTTAAAACAAATCTTTATTTAATGACACTGTTTACTTTGCGTGAGCATCTAGAGCAAAAAATCAATTAAGTAGTCATAAAAACTCCTTCAATCCATCTTGCATTGAAGGCTAACTTACTGGTTTAGTTGTGAGTGATCAAGTAAATCTACTTTATCACCATGAAAAGCACAAATATTGACAACTGAACAACCTTGCAGAGTAAAACTGATAAGAATTTAATGTCTCTAGGTTAAAAAATTCAAATGTAAAACTCTTCATGTAGAAGCACTGGAAAGGTGTTCCTCTTGAACACTACATAAGAAACTGGAAGTTTTCCCCTGTTTATTCAAAGAGTGACTCACACAGGATCTCTGTGTCACCACAGAACCGATAGGTGATGTTACTCAGACAAAAGGTACCTTTGAAAACCTAAAAAGCCACAGTATGAAAGGAAGCTGTTTTAGGACAGGCTATTCACAGGTAACATTCATTATTGCACTGCAAGGTCTTTCTACTAATTGCAGATAATCTGAAAATAGTCTTAATTTGATAAATCTGTTCACTGTGTGAAACAGGGAAATTTTAATGCAAATATATTTCAGTCTTTGGATTTCTTACACAACAGTTTACTATATGCATTGCTTTAGGGGTGACTGGGAGTTCAGACCATTTTCAAAGACTCTTGCACCACAACGCTCACATTTCTGTCCCCACTCAGGTCTCTCTGTGGGCCATTGCTGTCGTCACTGACCATACTGTAACTACCTGTGCACATGAGCAATTTCTGAGAACTCAAAAATATGCTCAATTTCATAAAAATTGAGTGACCTCTCATTTAGCACATCATTATCTTAATATTTATCATGCCTGTAACTGTTGTAATGTATCACTCCAGAGCATGCATGTGCCTCACTTGCATGGTGTTTACAATGATGTTTACTGAACTGAAAATAAAGCACATGTATTAATGCCTTCAAACAATCAAGTTGCAAGTTACCATTTCAGAGTTAGTTTTCCAGTGAAAACATTCTATTAATTTAAAATTCATATTCATTATTATGCTGCAGTCACCATTTGTTCATATTTCAATTTGTTCCTATTGCAAAGATTTCTGCTTATTACCTGTTTCGATAGATGTAACTGGGTGCTGACTATGGGCTGGGTCACTGGATGCCCACTGTCATGCCATACAAACATTGACGAGACACAAATAGACCTGCAGCAGGTTTGTGTGTTTGAAATTCAGTTCAACATTATCAGTGTCTTTGGGTATAAAAAGTCCTGCATCTCAGAGCAAAACCAGAGCATGAACAGAACACTTCCAGAGATAGACCTCCATGACCAGACCTATCTTCAGCCTTTATTCTTGTTGCTTCTCCTCTGATCTACTTGCTCCTCTCTGGCATAAGGTTATTTCTCAGAAATCTCTGTTCTCTGCAGTTCCAGCCCTTGTGTTTGGCATAGTCAGACACGCAGTCTAGTCCTTCCTGCTCTCAGATCAGGTGTACACAGCACAGCACGTTCCATCTCATGTCTGCAATCTACAGGCCAGGCCATGTTCAGCTTCAGGCTGGGTGGATGCATCAAAGATATAACCAAGAAAAACATGTATGGATGGAGACTGTGGAAGAAGGAAGGCTTCTTCCCGAAGTCTTTATGTTTGAACAAATTAGGTTGGAACTGAAAGCATGTCTGAAAAAAACTCACTTGTCTATCTCAGCTGAGGTTGCTAAACCTCAGATTCATTCTTCCAAACATGAATAATATAAACATTCTCAAAAGAAAAGTTTATCAGAATATTTTAGAATAGGTAAAACATAAATTTTCTCCTCCAAAGCTACTCAGGCATAGCTCAGCCATTTTGGGTGATTTAATATATGTCTAGGTCTATGTCAGAATATTTACAAGGTCTATATATTAAAAATGTTTTGAGACAGACATATATGTCAAAATACCAGGTTGGAGGTATGTACGCACATACACGCATGTGTGTATGTATACATATATTTAAAGAAGGTTGATGTATGTCTCTGACCTGGTAAATATCAACCCAGCTACGCTAACCTTGACACTCTAACCAAGAGAAAGAAGTGTCTCACAGCTTTCTGTCAGACCTTCACCTCCTTTACTTGCAGTCAAAGTTGAAGTTACAGAAACATCACATCTTTCATAGGCAATGATAATATCTCATAAATTAATTCATTTATCTGGGCTAGAAATTCAGTGGTGAAGGACAAAGCAACTCTTGTCTCTTGCACCTGCAACCTTAAATGAAGCTGTACTCTGAAAAGCAACAGCTTTAGAGCTGAGGAGGCCATCTGGCATCATGTGTCTACTCAGAGACACCCAATATATCAGATGATGCTGACCTAAGGGCACCTGGCAAAATCAGTGTTGATTGTTCTTTAAGTAATGTTTCCTGTTACACAGCACCAATGGGTTGATTGTAACTGAATCATCTTCCTCACATG